ACGGGGCCGTTTTACACTCACTTTGGGAGGACGTAGTACCTCCCTGGGGTTCTGTCACCCCCCCTACTCCCATAAATTTTATATAATTATATTTTATTTTTTTTTGGTTTTTTTTTTTTTTTTTTTTCCCCCCTTCAACAAACGGGGCTCCCCACCGGGCAGGGTGACCCCAAAAAAAAAAGAAAAACCCCCAAAAAAAAAAAATTTTATAAATTCAACACTTTACCCCACTCGCCCTTTTCACTGTTTTTGCGAGGTGCTCGAATACAACAGTTAGAAGATACACTAAAAAATACACAAATTCCCCCCAAACTGCCAAATATCCCCAAAAACCCCCCTTTAAAATGCAGGCATGTACTTCCTTTTTAGGACTCGAGTCCCACATATGAAAATAACCCGGTTTTCCTGAATCCCTTCACTAAATATTCCCTGCTCACACCCCAACAAAGTCAGGTCCCCAAATACCATTCGTCCCATTCATCCTATTAACAGCTCACGCACCCTTTCTGGAAGTCCCCAAGCCCCTTACCCACAAAACCTCCTTTACCCCCTCTCTCCAACCCTTTCGAGGACGACCCCTACCCCGCCTTCCCTTTCCCTATAGATTTATATGCTTTCCATGTCATTCTACTTTGATCCATTCTCTCTAAATGACAAAACCACCTCAACAACCCTCTTCTGCCCTCTGACTAATACTTTTATTAACTCCACACCTTCTCCTAATTTCCACACTCCGAATTTTCTGCATAATATTTACACCACACATTGCCCTTAAACAGGACATCTCCACTGCCTCCAACCGTCTCCTCGCTGCTGCATTTACCACCCAAGCTTCACACCCATATAAGAGTGTTGGTACTACTATACTTTCATACATTCCTTCTTTGCATCCATAGATAACGTTTTTTTGACTCCACATATACCTCAACGCACCACTCGCCTTTTTTTCCCTCATCAATTCTATGATTAACCTCATCCTTCATAAATCCATCCGCCGACACGTCAACTCCCAAGTATCTGAAAACATTCACTTCTTCCATACTCCTCCTCCCCAATTTGATATCCAATTTTTCTTTATCTAAATCATTTGAAACCCTCATCACCTTACTCTTTTCTATGTTCACTTTCAACTTTCTACCTTTACACACATTCCCAAACTCATCCACTAACCTTTGCAATTTTTCTTTAGAATCTCCCATAAGCACTGTATCATCAGCAAAAAGTAACTGTGTCAATTCCCATTTTGAATTTGATTCCCCATAATTTAATCCCACCCCTCTCCCAAACACCCTAGCATTTTTACTTCCTTTACAACCCCATCTAAAAATATATTAAAAAACCATGGTGACATTACACACCCCTTCTAAGACCTATTTTCCGGGGAAAAGTAGTCCCCCTCTTTTCTAAACACCCAAACCCTAGCCCACTACCCTCAAAAAAATCTACAGCTTTTAATAACTTACCACCATTCCAAACTTGCAACATCTGCCCATTGCTCCTCTACCCCTCTATCATTCCTTTTCTAAACCCATAAATGCAATAAAACTTCCTATTTTTATCAAATACTGTTCACATATATGCTTCAATGTAAAACCTGATCTACACACCCCCACCCACCTAAAACCTCCTTGCTCATCTCAATCCTACTTTCTGTCTTACTCTAATTTTTTCAATTTAACCCTCCGTACACTTTTCCTGGTATACCAGTAAGCTTACCCTCTAAAATTTTTTTACAGTCTCTTTGTCCCCTTTTCCCTTTTATAAAGGACTATACTCTCTCTCCAACCCCTGGGTCCCTTTCCCCCCTCTTTCATACATTTATTAACAAAATACCAACCCTCCAACCATACCCCCCCCTGTTTAACATTTCTGTCATGATCCCATCATTCCAGCTGTTTACCCTTTCATTTTACTAATGCCCACTACCCCCCCCAACTTACATTCTGCCTTCTTCCTCCTAAAAGAGGAAACCCCCTGCCCATGCATAAAATTTACTCCCTCTGTTTTTCCTTTTAACTTTAAAAAATTTGCTCAAAATATTTTTCCCAAACTACCCATTACCTCCATTCCCATCTAAAACTCCCCACTCTTTTTTTTAAATTTAAAAAATCCTTTTTTCCCCTAGGCTTTCTTACTTGTTTAACTCGCCCCAAAAAATTTTTTATTTTCTTTAAAATTTTTTGACATGCCCCTCCCCCTTTTCATCTGTCCCTTTTCACTCTCTCACCACTTTTTACCTTTTTTTTTCTCTCCAATACTCTGCTCTTCTTATAACCCTTTTTGCTTTGTAAAAACCTCTCATAAGCTACCCTTTTTTCTTTTATCACACCCTTTTCTTTATCATTCCACCAATCACCCTCTTTCCCCCTGCCCCACCCCTATAACCACAAATTCTCCCCACATTCTAATACGCATTTTAAAACTTTTCCAACCCTCTTTAACCCCCCCCCTATCATCTTTGCACTAGCCCCCCTTTTGCCAAATTTTGCTTATACTCACCCCCAACTTTCCCCCTCCCCTTTGTTATACACTTTCACCTCCCTCTTATTTTTTGTTGCCCCCCTTCCTCTTTCCATCACCTCTTACTATAACTGTACTACAATAAATAAAAGATCCGATATATCAGTTGCCCCCCTATAAACATGTCATCCCGGAGCCTACCCCTCAACCTTTTATCCACCAAAAACATAATCTAATAAATATTTATTACGTGTAAAAACATACCCTTGTATTTTATTTAATCCTCTTTTTTTCTAAAAAATGTATTACTTATTACCAAATTTTTTTCTAAAACATAGCTCAATTAAAGGGTCCCCTTTACATTTTAACCCCCGGCCCCCCCCAAATTTTTCCTACTACTCCTTCCCTAACATTTTTACCCACTTTACATTGAAACCCCCAACCCCCATTCTCTCACCCCTTGTTCAAAACTCCCCACGCATTCACTCAACATTTCCCCAAAATCTTCTCTCCTCACACCCTTTTTTCTTCTCCAGGTGAAACACCTTATTATAACCCACTTTCAATCCAATCTTTATTTTATCCACATAATCCCTTTAATTTAAAACATTTATAGTCCCTCTTTTTTCCCGCCATAGCTTATCCTTCAAAATTTTGCTCTCCTTCTTTAGCTCTAACTCTATTTGAAACCCCTGACCTAATCCCATTTATTCCTCTCCACTGAAACTCTCCCACCCCCTTCAGCTTTGTTTCACTTAAAGCCAGGACATCCAGCTTCTTCTCATTCATAGCATCCACAATCATCTCTTTCTTATCATCTGCACAACATCCACGCACATTCAGACTTCCCACTTTGACAGTTTTCTTCTTATTCTTTTTAGTAATCTTTACAGGAAAAGGGGTTACTAGCCCATTGTTCCCGGCATTTTAGTTGACTTTTACAACACGCATGGCTTACGGAGGAATGATTCTTATTCCACTTCCCCATGGATATAAAAGGAAAAGTAATAAGACCAAGAACTATTAAGATAAAATCAAAGAAAACTCAGATGAGTGTGTATAAATAAATGTGTACATGTATGTGTAGTGTGACCTAAGTGTAAGTAGAAGTAGCAAGACATGCCTGTAATCTTGCATATTTATGAGACAGACAAAAGACACCAGCAATCCTACCATCATGTAAAACAATTACAGGCTTTCGTTTTGCACTCACTTGGCAGGACGGTAGTACCTCCCTGGGCGGTTGCTGTCTTCCAACCTACTATCTATATTTATTTATATTTATATTTATACGTATTTATTTATATATTTTTTTTTATTTTTTATTTTTTTATTTTTATTTTTTTATTTATTTTTTATTTTTTTATTTTATTTACCTCAATTGTCGAATTTGATGCGTTCCACGTGTTGCTTCGACAGCCTAAATGGACAACCACCAAAGCAATTTTTCCCATAAAAAATAATGTAACTATAATTAATCCATTCTAGACCCCAAATGACAATTAGAAATGTACTAAGTACATAAAACTGTAAAAATGAATAATAAAACTTATAACGGAAATACTGGACAGTAAATGAAAATTTAACTGTCACTTATTTGTCAGAGGAGAGCTAATGGCATACTGGAAGCAGGAGGCGAAGGAGAGGAGGGGGTATGTTATTGCTTGGGAGGATTGAGTGTTTCTGTTGATATGTCAGGCATCTGTTCTAGTGTTGTTTCTCTTTGTCTCTTCACCCCCAACACCTTGTTCTGGCTCACTGGTTCTTTCTCATTGAAAACCTGTCCAGTGAGGTTTGTTTCAGGCTTTATTTTAGCACTTCTCTAAATTGAGACTTCACTGTCATTGTATAAGTTAGAGAGGTGCATGGCCACTGCTTTGGATGGTATTTTTCAGCAAACTTCTGCATTTCACACCATTTAACACACATTCCCCTGACAAGTGCAATGGTCACATCATCCCTTCCCTGCTTTTCCTTTGATGACGGCTCCTCCACTGCAATCTGTTGCTGCTTTTTCTGAAGGTCTACAAGTTCTGTGGCAAGTTCTGTTCTATACTTCTCCAAATCTTCAGTCACCTCTAGGCACAAGGTCTTCACCGGACACACAAGATGAGATGAGCTCAAGCTCATTTTCAAAGCATTCAAAATCCCTGGCTGTCATGAAGTCAAGCCATGGTTTCTTCCATGCTGACTGCATTGTCCTGGAAAATGACATTTTCCCAGGTTGTGTCTATAAGCCTCAAGCAGATGAGGATATTGAAATGGTCTTTCCAAAACTCCATGAGGGTTAAATTTGTTTCTGAAATGATTTCAAAGCACCTTTCAAAAAGGGCTCTGGTGTAGTTTCTTGAAGTTAGAAATAACCTGGTCCATGGGCTGGATGAAAGGAGTGTTGTTAGGGGGCAAGAACTTCACACATTTATAAAACTGAACTCCTCCAGCAACTCGTTTCCCAAGCTTGGAGGGTGAGCAGGAGTATTATCCTAAAGTAAAAGGGCCCTGAGTGGCAGTTGCGTTTTTAATGAGGTTCGTTTTGACAGTGGGAGCAAAAACCTCATGAACCTACTCAATAAAAAATTTTCTTGTTACCCAAGCTTTCATGTTGGCACTCCACATTACAGCCAGTTTGTTTTTCATGACATTGTTCTCCTTAAAATCTTGTGGATTTTCGGAATGATAAAAAAGTAAGGGCTTCAATTTCAAATCTCCATTTGCATTGCCACACAGTCCCGTGGGCATTCTGTGAGCACATGACCCAAATGTTCGCGTTGTAGGTTGACATCCAGGAAAACATACAAAAACCATGATATTTTTTTTCTCTTAATTCCTCATTTGAAAACTGATCTGTTCAAGTAATGTAGTTGACTACTGAGGTTCCACTGTATTTGATTAGTACATTTCATAACTTGATTTATCAGTCCATAATGTAATTTTGTCCAGTGGAAATTTCTTTGTTTAATAATTTTTCAAAAAGATTTTGATATTGCTACAATGCTAAATGCTCAGAATAGGGATGAGCTATTCTACAAATCATACCCATATTTTTTAAAGTTAAACTTTTTCATAGCACTGCTATTGTTATTTGGCTATTCATAGGTTGTCTGCAATCTATGGAGGTACCTACATGTTGGACAAGCCTATCAGCGAGATTGTTATGGAGGATGGTAAGGTAGTTGGTGTGCGATCGGGAAATGAGACGGCCAAATGCAAGCAGGTGTACTGTGATCCAACCTATGTGCCTGAGAGAGTAGAGAAGTTAAGTTGTAAACATGATTTGTTTTCACTCCTTTTCCTCCTCGTATATTGTAATTTGTTCATTTAAGGATAAGCCCTTGAATGTACAAAGCACTGAATAAATGACTGGTTTCATTGCATTTGAAATCCATCCCTTTCCCCAGTTTTGCAACATATATTTGTCATCACACTAAGATAGTGTATTGTTCAAGCTGTAAATGTGTTGTGTGATAGCTGTGCATATGATTCTTGGATACATCTTTTGCACTTGAACAATATGACTGTTTTGACATTACTACTTGAAGGTAAATGACGATGCATTTCAAAAGTGGAGAGGCTGAATGTCCTCAGATGAGGTTAAGTGAAAAAGCATCACTGAATAGGAATAGTTTCAAATAGGAGTATTAGAACTGTTGATTGTTGTATTTAGAAGTGCTTCAAATAGTGTGTTGTTTCCCAGGATAAAAAAAAGAAAAATCAACAGATCTAACCAGAAATAAAAGAATGGAAATTAGGAAATATAAATCAGGCTATTCTGTACTGGATTGATTGTAATTGAGTTTCTTGTTGGTTATATAATTATGCATTTAAACATTTTCATTGTAAAAGTTGTTAGCACCTAACCAGAATTTTATTTAACCTTACATTGATTAAAAATTTCCTTTTTAGGTTGGACAGGTGGTACGAGCAATTTGCTTGATGGATCATCCCATTAGTAACACTAAGGATGCTCTCTCTACACAAATTATCATCCCACAGAAACAAGTTAATAGGACTTCAGGTAAGAGTCATTTTTATATTTTTATGAAAATCAGTGGTCATCATAATTTATTTGTGGTTTAACACTAGATTTTGGTTTAGTTTGGCAATGGTGACTAGATATTTACTAGGTAGTAGGTTGGTAGAGAGCAACCACCCAGGGAAGTACTACCGTCTTGCTAAGTGAGCGTAAAATGAAAGTCTATAATTGTTTTACGTGATGGTAGGATTGCTGGTGTGTCTTTTGTCTCGTAAACATGCAAGATTTCAGATAGGTCTTGCTACTTCTACTTACACTTAGGTCACACTACACATGCATGTACAAGTCTATATATACACACCCCTCTAGGTTTTCTTCTATTTTCTTATTAGTTCTTGTTTATTTCCTCTTATCTCCATGGGAAAGCGGAACAGAATTCTTTCTCTGTAAGCCATGCATGTCGTAAGAGGTGACTAACATGCTGGGAGCAAGGGGCTAATAACCCCTTCTGTATACATAACTAAAGTTAAGAAGAGAAACTTGTTTTTCTTTTTGGGCCACCCAACCTCGGTGGGATAGAGCTGGTTGAAAGACGACGACTAGATATTTGCTTAGTTATGGTATAAAAACATTTCTAATAGATGTTAGTGGATGATATAAAGAACATTAGTGAATTAACTTGGATGTTATTTTATTTTTATTAATTTTTTTTTTTCAGATATCTATGTATCACTTGTGTCATACACACATCAGGTTGCAGCCAAAGGCTGGTTTGTTGCTATGGTGAGTACTACTGTGGAGACTGACAACCCTGAAGCAGAGATCATACCTGGCCTCAACCTTCTGGGACCCATTAAGCAAAAGTGAGTAATAGCTTCATCTGGTACTGTAGAAACATTACTGTAGTGAAGGCATAATTATATATGATCACTGGTACCTGGTGAAAAAGCAAATTCCAAACTTGTTGGATGTACAGGTTTAAGTTGTATATAATTGATAAGTTAAAGTACCATGATAGTTTAATTTTAAAGGACCTCGATATTTTAGTGACAGTGTATAGAGTAGACTGAGTAATGCTGGTGCTAAATTACTGAAATTTTTTTTTTCTTTCAAATTTAGCATTAAAGTGAAGAATATGTAAAAAAATTTAAGTTTCTTGAACCTGCAAAAAAAAAAAAAATGGCAAATTTTAGTTGCTGTTGCCCTGTACAGTTGGTGGCTCTAAGAATGACATGTTTTCACCTTTGTTACACATCAAGAAGCATATCTATTTTTTTAAATATACTTAAACTCAGAGTTCCATGTTTAATTTTCTTTGCATCTCTGGCATGTCAGGTATTCATTTTTTTTTTTTTTTTTTTTTTTTTTTTTTTTGGTGCTGATGTCAGTATCCAGAGACAAGTAATGTCTAAATAACATTTGTCATGGCTGCAGTGCAGTGATGCTCATGCCTTCGCTATACAGCTTTCTCGTTCAGTATTTTTTCACACTTTATTATCGCTCTCAACCTATTGGTTAAAGGAGTTTAAAGTCTCTACTACTCGAGGGTCATTAAGGCTAGTTGGTTGGTTAATGGGATTTAGTCTGTTTACTATTCAGTTTTGTAAATACAGCTGATGTAGGTAGGTAGATAACTTGTAGATACAGGCATGTGTAATTATAATTTACTAGCTTTTGTGCACTCTTCCCCCACCTTCACTGCACACACCATAGCATATTTAATGTCTCTAGTTTTCTTAAACTGAGAAGGTTTCACATTTTTTTGCATATCTTGCATCACTAGTACAGGTACACCATCACTAATCCGGCATTCAGTAATCTGGTTCCATCAATAATCCAGCACTGATTTTGCCTAGCATAATTTCAGATATCTGGGGTCACCACACCAACCTGCCACTACTGTTTGGTGACACTACTTGCTGCATAAGTCATTCCAATTTCTCCATTTGTTGTTATAACCTGGTCACATTTAGCCCTAGCCATGGTTCCAACAAATAAAAGAAATGCTTCTCGTTGTGTAAAGCACATACACTATGTTGTCCATAAAAAATAAGGTAGCTTTGAAGCCACTGTTGGTCGCCATGCACTCAGCTCACTCAGATAAGCTGTGACTGGTGAATTTGGGCTTACATATGAGAGATTAGGTCTGTGTGGTAAGTTTGTACTATATAAAAAAAAATACTGCAGCACACTGCACAAGAAGAAAAAACGGCGACTGTGCTTTTGGTGTAAAAGTGACTTAGCGGTGTATTTTCGTATGGTTTGTATGGTTATATTCTCGTTTTCTGGTCTTGTTTGATAGAATGGAACATATATTACAGAAATAAATATAATTTTGATTGGTTTCAGGCTGGAAAGTATGTTGGGAAGGTTCATGGAGATGTGATGGTTGGAGGTAAACAGCCATTGGATGTTAACACATATACAGTGGAACCTCAAAAATCGAACGTATCTCATATCGAACGTTTCGAAAATAGGACCATTTTTTCGGACAAACTGTCCCTATTATTGAACGCGCCCCTATTTTCGGACCGCCGGGTACGGGACCTGTCTGCCTCCCGCTCTGTCCGCGTCTCTGCGTAGGCGCCGTGAGCAGTCTAGCTTTGTTTATGCTTGAGTGAACACTAACCTACGCTCTCATTCACTCATTTTACGATTATTTCGTTGTGCTTAGTGGTTGTGGGACTGTGAAATAAGCTGCCATGGGCCCAAAGAAACTTGCTAGTGGTACCCCTGTGGTGAAGAAAGTGAGAAACACCATAGATGTGAAGAAGGAAATGATACAGAAGTATGAGAGTGGTGTGAGACTTGTTGAGCTTGCCAGGATGTATGGGAAAAACAAGTCGACCATCAATTCTATCCTGTCAAAGAAAGAACAAATCAAGGAAGCTGATGTTGCGAAAGGTGTTAATATAGGGAGTGGATGAGGTGCCTTCTTCAAAGATTAAGGAGATTTGTGCCAAGTGGAATGATGTCCAAATGTTTGTGCAGAAGTACCACCCTGAGCAAGCTCAAACAAGCCATCTTTGCAACAAGTTCAGTGACAGAACCATGTCCCATTTTAGGGAAATGTTAAAAAGGCACCAGAAACACAGGACTGTGGACAGTTATTTTGTGAGACAGGGGTCCAGTGACTCTCAAGCTGGTCCTAGTGGCATTAAAAGACAGAGAAGGGAAGTAACCCCTGAGAGGGCTTTACCTGAAGTCCTCATGGAGGGGGATTCTCCTTCCAAACACTAACCCCAACTCCCTCTCTCCTCCCTATCTTCCAGATGCCATCACCAATCTTCAATAAAGGTAAGTAAAAATGTTATTTTATATGTATTACTATACATAATTAAAAACTAGTATTTGTTGTATGTAAAACTGTAATTAATCTCTATAAAATGTATTTTTTGTGTGAATATTTTTGGGTTTCTGGAACGGATTAATTGTATTTCCATTATTTCTTATGGGAAATATTGCTTTGAATTTCAGACTTTTCGAATTTAGAACTAGCTCCTGGAACGGATTAAGTTTGATTTTTGAGGTTCCACTGTATTAGCAGTGTGTGAGAGGGGGGAGCCCTGACTGCCTGTGTTGGCCGTAGACCTAAGCGTGGGGAACTGAGTAAGAGGACGAGCGCACAGCGCTCGCAATGGCATCACGTGACGTCACACATGCTAGTCACTGAGCCTACTGAAAGGGAGCCTAAATATATACATGGATGATATGATCTACAATATACTACACAAGTATACGTATAGGGAAATTCAGTAGCTATACTGACAAGTACTTTAAAATTGAACTCAAAAGAGCGGAAATGTTGGATTATTGTCAGTGTTCGCATGTAAACAAATGTGTCCAACTAGCCAGTCTAATATGCAATCACGAATGGGCTGACATTATTTATACAATTATTACAATAATGCAGTAGTCTGCATAACAGTAAATCTTTTATTTTTTTGTGTGAATAAAAATTCAAAATGGAAAGCAAGCGTAATATAAGAGGGGCCTGGAGACGTGACTAATGAACAGAGAAAATGTTTCTTTAGTGTTAGGAATGTCTGCATTGTCTATGCTGGACCCTATTTTGAAATTGGCATCTCTTGAAATTTTTGTGAAATTGGCCGAATTACCAATTTCTGACCACTTTATTGGGTAGTTAAAATAGATAAGTGAGCAGTTTTTTACTTAGTTGACAGAATAGAAGGAATACTAGCAAAATTATTGAGTTTGATAGACTAGAACAATGGAATGAGCCAAAAATAAGGTGTAAAGTAGGTGTAATCACCGATGCGTAAATATTGCCGTTTGGTTAAGTGTATTCTAACCTAACCACTCTGTAATTTGGCAAAATCAGTAATCTGGCACCATACAGGTCCCAATGATGCCGGATTAGTGATGGTCAACCTGTACTGTATTCCTTTTGGGCATCATGGTTAATATCCAGAGAAAGATAGGGCATTGGGCAGTGATATCTAAAATCATTTGATAAACACACTAGGTATAAATGTTAATGGGGGTGGGCCTTTGAACTTTGTATAGAAATGGGTTTGGTTATAGGTAATGCATATTTTAAGAAAAAACGGATAAATATGTATAAGATATGATATAGGGCATAATGACAGTAGTTTGTTGGACTATGTATTGGTAGATAAGACTGTTGGGTAGACTTAGAGGGACCACAGATATCAGATCACTTTTTAGCTGTATCTACAGTGAGAGTAAAAGGTAGATGGGATACAAGGAAAATGGAAGCACCAAGTAAGAGAGGTGAAGGTTTATAAACTAAAGGAGGAGGCAGTTAGGGTAAGATATAAGAAACAATTGGAGGATAGATGAGCTAGTTAGAGTATAGGCAATGGAGTTGAAGTTGTATGGGGGTAGATTTAAGAATGTAGTGTTAAAGTGTTCAGCAGAAGTTTGTGGTTACAGGAAAGTGGATGCAGGAAGAAGAGCAGTTGGTGGAATGATGAGGTTAAGAGAGAAACAGCATACGAGAGGTTTTTACAAAGTAGAAATGATGCAAGGAGGGAGGAGCATATGGAGAAAGAGGGGTTAGGAGTGGTGAAGGAACATATAAAAAGAGAGCAAGAGAGTAGGGCGAGATATTATCAACAAATTTTCTTGAAAATAATAAGTTTTGGAGTGAGATTAATGAGGAGAAATTCTAGGGAATGAATGGATTTGATAGTTAAAAATAGGAGTGTTACTAAATGGAGAGTTAGAGGCATCAGGAAGATGGAATATTTTGAGGAATTGTTAAATGTTGAAGATAGGGAGGGTATGATTTTGTGTATGGGACAAGGAGTAACATCTTGTAGGAGTGGGGAAGAGCCAGTTGTGAGTGTTGAGGAACTGCATGAGGCAGTGGGTAGAGTGAAGGGGTTAAAGCAGCTGGCATTGATGGAATAAAGATTATTTTTATTATCACACTGGCCGATTCCCACCAAGGCAGGGTGGCCCGAAAAAGAAAAACTTTCACCATCATTCACTCCATCACTGTCTTGCCAGAAGGGTGCTTTACGCTACAGTTTTTAAACTGCAACATTAACACCCCTCCTTCAGAGTGCAGGCACTGTACTTCCCATCTCCAGGACTCAAGTCCGGCCTGCCGGTTTCCCTGAATCCCTTCATAAATGTTACTTTGCTCACACTCCAACAGCACGTCAAGTATTAAAAACCATTTGTCTCCATTCACTCCTATCAAACACGCTCACGCATGCCTGCTGGAAGTCCAAGCCCTCGCACACAAAAACCTCCTTTACCCCCTCCCCCAATCCTTCCTAGGCCGACCCCTATCCCGCCTTCCTTCCCACTACAGACTGATACACTCTTGAAGTTATTCTGTTTCGCTCCATTCTCTCTACATGTCCGAACC